CCCCCCGCGAATAATAAATGTAGGAATGGCGGGGGGTGCATAATTGTAGGACATGTGTTCCTACAATTGCCAGTGTCCGTGTCCAGCAGAAATAAGCAGGGGTATGCGTGGCTTGCCCTGCACGAGGTAGCTGCAAAACGTGGACCCAGAAGTGGGTTCTACAATTGACGCATTCGTATCGGCGGGGGAATAAAAAGTGTAATCTACATTTTCTGCCCCTCCTCCTCCTAAGCACGGGGGGCTGGTACAGTAGGCCGTGCGACCCAAATCGTTCTCTGCTTACACAGCCGCCATGCGCAGGCTGGATCAAAGTTTCTGCTGCCGAGCCTTGGTTGGGAGTGCTGCGCTTTTCGTCGAACAAGTACAAAGAAGAAGCCGTGTCCCTCTTCGTACCGTCGGCTCTTCTGACAAGGCGGTAGGTTGCTGCAGTCCTCGCTTCGGATCTTAGCCCATGGGAGTGTGCTCTCCAGCATACGGTGCGAGCCTTACGCCTGACTTGGACCCTCTGTGCACACAAACAGTCCTCGGATACGAGCTTCGCGCAAGGGCTCTTGCAGGTCCCCAGCATGCGGTGTGCCCTATAGAGTCCTAGAGAGACAGTCGCATACCCAAGGCAGACTTGTGTTAGGCCTACGCCTACGTTAGTCTAACAACAACTTGATCGTGTGCCAGGTGAGGTGAGGTCGACGGGCCCCGCGAAAAGTGCTCAGCACCCCTCGTCTGTCTCCCAGGAGCGGGGAAGAAGCCCAGTCATCATCGTCGCAGAATTAATTGCCCCGGGCACAGTACATGGAGGACATGTGTTCCAAGAGTTGCCTTCCTCCGTGCCGACGCTGCCGCCTGTTACCCTGTCTATAGGTTTGGGGAGTTTTCAGAAATTGAAGCAAGCGACCTAAACAGCAGGATCCTTAGCAACAAGACCTCCGAGAAGGACCCTAATCTTCTGAAACCCCGATGTAGACCAAAACACGCCATCGTACCATTAAGGCCTTTCCGCTTGTCCGCCTCCTGTGGTACTCCAGGGATGGGGGGCGTGTATAATGTTCAGTTGCCGTGACCCATTGCATCAGTTGGCGACATGGCTTTTCAGGTAGCCACCGCAGGTGGTCTATATGTGTCACACCGATGCCGGACGTGACCATGGGACAGTGGCTGTCGCATGCACCGAACTACCTTAAATTGCCTTAAATGGGGCTTCCCTCCAGCTTTGCCGGCCTAAACCCTAAACCCCTAAACCCCTGAACCCCTAAACCCCTAAACCGCTAAACCGCTAAACCCCTAAACCCGAAAAGCAGCTGAAGCCAGATGCCTGGGGCATCTTTGGGGCCACCAACTGGGCCGATAATGGTCGAAGCCTTCTGGCCGAGAGTCTGAAGAAGCCCAGGTTAAGGGAAAGCCGCGATGTCTCGGAGGACGGCTCCGTCCTTGACCCAGGTGGGTGGTTCTCTAAATTAGGGTCCCTTTTTTGGGTCCCCAATATAGTACGACACCCTTACAGAAAGGACCCCAAAAGGGACCCCAATTAGAGAACTACTCAAGTGTCTTGGCAATGCCCAGGGTTTAGGGCTTTGGGTTTCGGGGTTTAGGGTTTAGGGTCCCGGTATCCTTCATTTCTGCAGGCAGGGCATCCATGCATGATTGGGGGAACAAACTGCGCCGTGGCCCTCCGAGTGCCTTCACCCTACGAGTGTCGTCGGGCTCGGCGATCTTCGTGCTTGGAGCTTGTGCAGGCAAGGTCCTCAACCACAACGCGTGATATCGCAAGTATAATGCTCGAAGGATGTGCCTGACATACCAGGCGCTGCAGAACACGAATGAGAAACGCCTCAAGATCTGAGCGGAAAGCCATCATCTTCGGCTGCTGTCAGATAGCATTTGCGTCGTCGGAAGTATGGAAGCGCGCTTGCGACGCACATCCAAGAGTTTGCGTGCGCACACACTCCCCTCTGACAGGTTTGAAAGGTTGGGTCGCTGTCGGGCCTCCGCGACCCGCACTGCGGACACGAGTACGACTCAGAAAAGGTAAGGCAAGCATCCTTAAGCTTCAATCGCCTCCTTCGTGCTTCTCGCTGGGGCTGGCTTCTTGAATCTTAACAATATGACAGCGTGCTTGCCTTGTGTGTCCAAGAGCTTGCGCGTACAATCCTCTTTGACAGGCTTCAAACGTTGGGTCGCCGTCTGGACACTGCGACCGGCACTGCGACCACAAAGTAAGAGGAAGAAAAGGTACGGCAAATATCTTTAAGCTTCAATCGACTAGCCATTTGAAGGCGAGATCTTGATGCGGCTCCGTGTTTCAAACGTAAGGGGTAGTAGTTGCACCCACGATAGCTGAAGATCCAACTGGGCCCAAGCAACTCCGAAGCTTTACATAGCCGCATCCTGGTGTTTGGATGTTGTCAGATCGTCAAAGCGATGTAGGAGAGCTTTACAAATAAAGGTGCCGTTCTTTGAATCCCTGAAGAATAGGCCTCCTCCTCTTCGTAAGTTGTAACGGCAAGAATCATCTCTGGAGACAGCTACCTAGGCTTGGATGATGCCCTCAGGGGCTGAGCCCAGGTGCAAAGCCACTTTCCCCGGTGTCGTCCTTCGATTGCTCGTGTCATGTCATGTGCAGGAAGCTCAACAAGCGTGCCTTGCAGTGCCACGTTTGTTCCTGCTTTCAGGTGCTGATACTAAGTCTTAGCAGCCGTCGTTGCCCCTTCTCGGTGGAAAGTAACAGCTAGTGTGCGTGCGAAGGGTCAGTGAGACATGTTCCATGATGCCAGCGCCCTGCTCGTCATGGCCTCGCCTAACTGTGGCCTGTGAGGACTGTCCAGCGCTGATCCTTTCATTCCAAAGCTGAGCCGAGCCACCTGCAAAGCCGGCACGAGCCATCCGAAACACAACCAAGAAGGCACACTAGGGACAAGTGGGACTCGAGGCAGCAGTCTTGTCTCGGCCGTTTGCACATCCATAGTTGCCTGGGCGGCTGTACGCCAGTCGCGACGTTGCGAGAGCGTATGCGGGTTGTAGCAGACGTTCGACATGTCATGGTTGGCTGCTTCAAAGGCAAAGTGCACGCAGGAAGATGAGCCCCTCTCCCTATACAGGCTCTGTGGAAAAAGTCGTGGTGGTTGAGTGATGTTGAGTGCACGGAGGAAGTGCAACAGCGGAGTCGACACAGATGGATTCGTAGCTGTAGCCCGATGCCAAACAGCTTCTGCGGCTTCGCAGTCCGCTTGAAGCTGGGTCGCTTCGCACACATCTCCATTCTGCCCAGATTTGTCGAACTTGACCTTGTTGCAGTCGTAGGATTGAGAAGCATGCTGCTGCTTGCAAGCTTGTCTCTGATATGCGCACTCCACACGGCTTACACACCTGAGAGATGGCATGGTAACTCCGGGCGAAGCATCTGCTGCTTGCCGGCATGTCCGGAATTCACGCTTCGGTTTCGGACTGCGCCCGACTCAGACGCGCACAGCACAGTAACGACAACGACGGAGCTACCCAATCGAGCCACGCTGAACCTGCGAGCGGTCTGGGTCAGTTAGCTGTGCGATGTGATTCTCTTGCAGAGGCACCAGGGTTTCGTGACTGCTCGTGAGTGAAGCTCCTTTCCATACATTCTTTCCGGCCTGGATCAACTGTGAAGCAGCTGTTGAGAGCTGAAGGTGGCCAGCTGCAGTCGACCGCTGCGCACGGCAACCCCGGATAGCTCTTCTGCGCCTCGCGGCTGGGGCTGCTCGTGCCATTGTAGGGACATCAAGTTGCATCGCGTGTAGCTGTTCGTAGTGGGTTCAACGCGATGAGAGCTGATGCGGTTGGCTGATGGGTGCAAGACACCAACGTCAAGGTGATGGCATGACGGCTTCATCAGCTTCGGAAGATGAGCCCCTCTTCCTATGCTGGACTGGGTTTGTCCGTGAAGTGGTGGAGTGCATGTACACAAAGCAACATCGGATTGAGATGTCCGTTGGGGTGCATTGACTGAGCCTCGACTTCACAACAACCTTGACAGGCCACTGTGCCGAAGAGTCTTCTTCAAGTCTACAAAAAGCTCGAATGCCAAAGTAGTCAATCCAGACGCCCTAAGACTTTCAAAGCGATGTATTGAACGTTCCTCCTTTCAAAGTCCATGAGATCCTCGGAATCTCTGGTCCTTCACGGAAACGTTGGGCTGCCTTCATCGAGCCCTGCAAGGCAAAGGGACAGCCAGCAAGCTGGCCCCGGTCTATTCAAACCTTACAGCAAGTTGCACAAGGCGTTTCTAGCAGGCAGTGCCGCATAAGAAGGTTGCAACTCCCCGAAACTCGCAAAAGTTTGCAGTCTTGAGATGGGAGTTATTGCTGCCGGAGGGAAAACAGATTCTTCCAGCAATTCTCACTTTACAACATTGGCAGAACTACACAGGCTGATTACATATTCTTATCAATAGAATTCAATAATTAGAATATAATCTATGATTCTATGATAAATATATGAAAGATAAGAATTCATATTCGATATAAATCGAAAATATATTTAATTTCTTGAAAAAATATATTTTAAAATATTTTCTGAATAATCTCTTCTAGAAGGGATTAAGGAACGATAAGAATAGAGAATTGAATTATTAATATTTCTGTTTGCGGGACATTATTTTTTTCATATTTTCGTTTGTTAGATTTTTAGTAGTTTGGGTTTTTGGGTTCGATTAATTATGAATTCTAGCGGCTAATTATATTTTTGTTATTTTCGGTAATAAGCTTTTACTAGAAAAATCTTTTTTTTACGCGCTAATTCTAAAGCGAAAGAAAAATTAATTACGATATTAAACTCGTAATAAGTCCGTCGATATACGATATTCTGAGAAGAATGATGAAGAGGGCGTTATACGTTTAATATTAGAAATCTAATTTGTCATAAGCGAAAAATATGCGTTCGCGGGCACTAGTACCTTGTTTTGCGAAATATCTTATTAACGATAAGGGTATTATCGATTATAAACGAATCTTTCTCCTAAAATACGACAAAAAATATTATTGTCCAATTATATATATTTAAAAAAATTGAATATATATCGATATATCTTCGCAACAGAATACGAATAGATTGTCCGAGAGATATTGCTCGTCGGAACATTGCCGGCGAACGAAGAGAGGCCATAGATCGATATCGTGCCCATGTTCCCAGAAGATACAATCCGAGATCCAGAAGAAGATTATTTGCCGCCGCTACAAATACCCGTTATAATTGCCGAGCCTTGTCGCATAATCTGATAAAATTCGTAAAAGATTAGTCTCCTAAACCGCAGCATTCTTTCTCTAATTAAAAAAAAGAATAATGATAATATCTAACGACAAGAAATCAAATTAAATGAATTTAAGTCTTAATTTATCGAGGCGATCTTTTATAATTATGATTGGATTTTATAGGTTTGGGGTTTAGGGTTGTCTAGAATTTAGCCCGAAATCCGAAAAACTAAATTCAGAGACTCTGGCTTGGGGGAACGAGTTTACAAGAGATTCTATCGAAAAAAATTATTGATAAAGGTTTAGGGTCGAAGGCGTGGAGTTTAGGGTTCGGGGAAAGAGATTAAAGTTCCAAAACATTACTTGTCAGGGGCTTTTGAGGCTTGTAAGAAAGGACATATATATCGCCTACCATATAGCGACTCGACATGACCAAAAAAAGGCCTTGGAATATATTCTACGACGATTCCTATTATTAAAATCTCACCAAAAGTCTTATATAATAGAGTCTTTAGGTCCAAAAGCCTTAAAATATAAGCCCATTACAGAAATAAAATAATATTACTATCTCTAGACCTTAATTATAAGACCGAATCTCAAATCCTAAATAAATAACGTATGAAACGCCCAGACTCCTGAGTCGCAAATACGATCGACCCCCAACCCGCAAATGTAATCGACTTACACACCCAAACAGATAATCTAAAAAAACGAACAATAAAAATATTCCATTTCAATAAAAAATATATCAATAAATAATTACTAATAGATCACCGAATATATAATATATTTATAATAGATATTAAATAATATCAAAAATATAGAAAATAGATTTAAAAAAAGAAAAATTCATGAATTTCAGAAAATCTCACAAAATTTTATCAAAAATTCAAATAAGAAATATTCGAATGAAAGAAAATATAAGAATCTCAAACAATCTTAGCTCAACAAGACTTACCAAAAAATCCAAATAAGAAATATTCGATATTATTAAAATTTTTGCTTCTAATATATTTCTCATTTATTTTTAAATATAATTCGATTTTCTTATGTATTTATATAATATTTCTAATCTCGATTTTTATTTAGTATTATCTATATTAAATCATGTTCAAAATATACAATTTATATATATATATATATTTATCGATCTTATAAGAATCATATATAAAATTAATTATTAAAGAAATATTAAAAATCATCAATATATTTCGTTTGTAATGAATATATTCAATCAATTTCGATTCTTATCATAATGAAATTCAAGAATTTTTCGAATCTAATCAGAAAATTCAACATTTAGGAAATTAAATTCATATTTTATCATATAAATATTAAGAAGAAAAATAATTACTAGATTCCAAGATTATTTAAATGAATTCGCAAATTTTTTTATTGGGCCATACCTAATCATTAAAATCTTTCATATTATATAACAAATAATATTGCAATATATTTTTTCATATCATTTAATTTCGTATCGCCTTGATACTCTCAAAAAGGTCATTCTAGAATAGTGCTTCAAGGTTGGATTGTCGATCGAAAATTCATTGTCGGAGGAATAAGTTAATATTGAATATATTCGTGAAAGAGGAAGATCAGAAGGATCAATCATATTAGATGTTTCATGAATCAAATGAAAACATAAAATATGAGATTCGTGATCGAGAACCTATCATTTGTCTTCGATTTTGAGTTTGAATATCTGTTGCGTAGGGCCGACCAAGCCAGCTCGCAGTTGCCGCAGAAGATCTGTGGTATTCGCCAATTCCTGCCTGAGTTTTTTGTCTAGGTTCGGGCTTAAGGTTCAGTGTGGGGTCTGTTTTTCTCTTAGGACCTGTATAGGGATAAAGCTACAATTTAAGAAAGTTCCTTGGAGCAAACGCTACTCCAGACCCATGTATGCTGAAACCCCAGCTAACTTTCCAACATGGATTTGAAAACTTGGGTTCGATTGCAGACTGGACACCACCAGAAGCTTCACACTGCGAAAGCTTAAAAATTTTCAGCGACACACTTTTGCACAAGAATATGCATGCTCACCATTTGCCGAACGGCGTCAACGAAACCCCAAGTCCAACACTCACCTTCCTGCCTGGCCTACAGTCGAGTAGTCCGACTAAGGGACTAGGGCAAGGAAAATACTCGGGGTATATGGGGAGCTTTGAAGCCCTGCTATATTTCCAAAGCCGACTTTAAGCTCGGGCACGTCACGCTCTTCACAGCGCTGCTGTATGTTTGATCCTTGTGAACCAAGGAATATCAGGGACTCCGTCTCAGGGTTCAGGGCTTAAGGCTCGGAGAGAGATAGATCACGAGAGAATATCTAATTGCCTGACTCTGCTGGTTCTGAAAACCAATCATGCACTCACCTTGAGCTTCATTAAATTGATCATAACCTCCGGCGAGAACCGCTGCAGATCATTAAAGATTGTCCACAATGTGCTGTTCTCCACACTAACCGACTAAATCCAGCCTTACGCTGTAATTCAAAACCTGAACCCTGCAGCCTCAATCACGAAAATTTTAGAAAGGCTGTGTGTGTGGGGGTCTTTGTTTATCTTGAACCGCCTACACCGTCACTTTCAGGCGTCACCCCCAGCCCTTCCGCCGACAAAACCCCATTCCCACCCGAAGACCCAGAGCTCAACAGCCAGCCCAGCCAATCCTAAAAGGTAATCCCAAAAAGGAACTACTTAGGGGCCTATGGATAATGGTAAAGAGCTCTACATAGTGGTACATGGCCTAGCCCCAACACCTACAGCCCCCGGCCCAATCGAAAGCTTGGAAGGAGAAAACGTTTCGGACAACACTTGCGCTCAAAGCGGAAATCCTCATAATCCATTTTGCAACCCCACTTACTTCGGCTCATAGAAGGCGTATACCTCGCGTTTTGGCAGTTTGGCTTTTGCTTTTGTTCTTTTGCCCGGCTCTAGAGGCTTCAGACTTGCCCCTGGCCTCCCATTCACCCAGACCGTAATGGTTTCCCCTCCCCCCGCCTCTGCCCCTGCTGGACTTACCGCCGGAAGGCATTGCAAGATGAAATGGTTGGGGGCCATATCAGTGCTTGCGGCTCTGCTGGCAAAACCTGCAAACACCCAACCACCCAACATACACCTTTTGTTTGGGTAAGGTGAAGGTTGAGGGATTCGGGTATAAAT